TTAGTTGTAATAGAGAGCTGTTTTAAATTGTAAGGTGTTGCTAGTTTCAAGAGTTCCCAAATATTGACCAAGGTGTTACCAATAAGTGTCTCATATGAGCATCTTGGTTTTACATATTTTTGTGATCTGTTTTTCTATGCCCTGAGACGTTTAACAAGATTGTTTCGAAGGGAAGTCAGAATAGCATCGTAAAATCTGCAAGGGGGATATTATCTTTTTGGCTGAATAGATCACACGTTAAATCTGTTGAGTAATTTTTTTAAAGGAGCATGTGTAAATGTCTATTTATACATATAATGTAACTGTTTGTTACAAATGTAAAAGGCACTTCTTGTTCTGATGAAAGGCATCATATGTATATTTCATTTTGTTGACCAAAAACACACATGCAACCTGATGATTACCTCACGTAATGTTAGCTAGGCCTCTCTAGTAAGTGATTTAAATGGGTACACATGCCAGTCATGGAGTAAGGTCCCAATGCCAATGGAGATTCATGGTAAACACCAGGGTTCCACTATAGTGCAAGCAGTGGGAATTATTTTTTTGTAAACAAGTAGGCAACAAAAGTGCTCAAAAACCATCTGAGCCCCCCTCCAGATTTGAATTCACCACAACAATTTGGATATCTTCTAACACCTTTAACATAGTAAAATGTCCCCAAGGCACTTCACAGGAGAGCAATCAGACAAATATTGCTTGATATAAGGGCTGGTGATTAAAACCTAAGGTAGGTTTTAATAACAACAACTTCGGTTTATATAGTGTCTTTAATAAAACGTACCTAGGTGCTTCACCAAGCAATATAAAGCAGAATTTGCCAGTAAGTCACGAGGCAATATTAGGGCAGGTGGCCAATAGTTTGTTCAAAGAGATTTTAATATCTGTCTTAAAGGGGGATTGGTAAAAGGTTTTAGTGAGGGAAAAGTGGAGATAAAAACCTAGGCAGCTGAAGGCATGGATATTGGCACAATTAAAATTGAAAATGCTCAAGAATTGCAGGTACTTCAGAGGAACCTGGGGCAGGAAGGGATTAAAGAACAAGGAAGGAGCAGTGTCATGGGGGGATTTGAAGAAAAAGGATGAGACTTTTAAATTGAGACTTTTTTTGATTGGGAGCCCAAATAGATCAGTGCTGGTTCATATAGGTCTCCTCAAGATCAAGAAAACCTATCCATAATTGGCACCCTTCCATCTTGTAACGCAACAGTTGGCATTGTGATGAATAACTGTGTTAAACTTTACTGCGTGTGTCTCAGAAGCCTTACCCTGGAATTGCAATTACTCAGTGCAATTCAGGGTAGATTTCTTCTGCCAGGATCTGCAGTTTGAAAAAAAAGTGACATGGTTAAATACTTTTCCCATAGCGCTCAGCAGACAGATGGTTCAATAGCTCCTGCAACCATTACAGTTGTTCCTTTACAGAGTCAGAATCTTTGCAGCAAGCATTTTCTCAAGCAAAGTAGAAGTCGTACAAATGTTGAAGAAGTTCCAGTTTCCTGTGTACAAGCGAAATAGTATCTGCACCTGGAGGTTTGCCCATGGCAAGCAAATAAATAGCTTTCCTCAGCGCACTGGTTTCAGTATCCAGCTCTGCCTTGACAGCAAGCCTTCTGTGGTATCTAGAGCTTCCTCAGGAACTGTTTCTCCCTACAGTACAACTTAAAGTTGCATTTCATCCATTTTCCAGCTATTTATTGCCATCAGGGATCATCTCCCCTGCCCTTGCTTTCAGAAGAGCCATTTTTTTTGCTGATGGTCCTGTTTGATCCTGTGTTACATGCCCTTGGTATTCCTTATCTCAAAGGAAATCTAAATATCCTGACAATGTTATGATCAGTAGTAATTAATGCACTACGAAGAAGTCTGTTGGACTTAACTTTGAGCAGCTCTTAATGCATTCAGAGTCTTCTTGCTAAGATCTTAATGACAGTAGAATGGTCAGCATTTTCCTCTCCTGTCCCATGTTGAAATGCTGGGGGACAGAGGGTCAAGCATGAAGGAGGAACTGAAGGAAATCCTTATTAGTCAGGAAATGGTATTGGGGAAAATGATGGGCTTAAAACCTGAAAAGTCCCCAGGGCCTGAAGCTCTGCATTCCAGAGTACTTAAGGGAGTGGCCTGAATGGACTGTAAGGTTGTTAGTGTAACCCCACATTTTTAGGAAAAAAAGGAGGGAGAGAGAAGCTGGGGAATTATAGGCTGGTTCACCTGACAATAATGGGAGTCCATTATGAATGATGTAATAACTGAGCATTTGGAAAGCGATGACAGAGTCGGTCCAAGTCAGCATGGATTCACTAAAGGGAAATCATGCTTGACAAATCTTCTGGAATTTTTTTGAGGATGTGACCAGTAGAGTGGACAAGGGTGAATCATTCGATGTTGTGTATCTGGACTTTCAGAAGGTTTTTGACAAGATTCCACACTAGAGATTAGTAAAGAAACTTAAAGCTCATGGTATCAGAGGTAACATATTGACGTGGATAGAGAACTATTTGGGGCAGACAGGAAATAGCGAGTTGGAATAAATGGGTCCTTTTCAGAGTGGCAGGCAGTGATAGTCGGGTACCACAGGGTTCAGTGCTGGGACCCCAGCTGTTCCTAGTATACATTAATGATTTGAAGAAAGGAATTGAATGCAATATCTCCAAATTTGCAGACAACACTAACCTCGGCGGCAGTGTGTGCTGGGAGGAGAATGCTAGGAGGCTTCAGGGTAAATTGGACAGGCTGGCTGAGTGGGCAAATACAATATAATGTGGATAAATGTGAGGTTACCCACTTAGGTCACAAAAACAGGAAGGCAGATTATTATCTAAATGGTGGCAGTTTAGGAAAATGAGATGCAACTTGACCTGGGTGTCATGGTGGAACAGTCGCTGAAGGTTGCCATGCAGATGCAGCAGGTGGTGAGGAAAGCTAATGGCATGCTGGCCTTCACAGCAAGAGAATTTGAGTATAGGAGTTGTGATGTCTTGCTACAGTTATACAGGGCCGTGGTGAGGCCACACTGTTTGTATTGTGTGCAGTTTTGGCTTCCTAGCCTGAGGAAGGACGTTCTTGCTATTGAGCTAACGGCAAAGGTTCACCAGACTGATTCCTGGGATGGCAGGAGTTACGTATGAAGAAAGATTGGATCGACTGGACTTGTACTCACTGGAATTTACAAGAATGAGGGTGGATCTCGTAAAAATGTATAAAATCCTGATGGGATTGGACAGGCTAGATGTGGGAAGGATGTTCCCAATGTTGGGGAAGTCTGGAAAAAGAGGTCATAGTCTAAGAATAAGCCAGGGCTGAGAAGAGAAAGAATTTCTTTGCTCAGAGATCTGTGAACCTGTGGAATTCTCTTCCTCAGGAAGCTGTTGGGGCCATTTTATTAGATCTGTTCAGGAGGAAGCTGGACGTGGCCTTCGTGACTAAAGTAATCAAGGTGTATGGAGAGAAAGTGAGAGGAATACTGAGATTGCATGATCAGTCATGATCGTATTGAATGGTAGTGCACGCTCGAAGGGTTGAATGGCCTACTCCTGCACTTATTTGTACATTTCTATGTTTTTAGAGTGCAGTGCTTAGGAGGTGTTTAAAAGTTTGTTCCATTTCATTCACTCTGGGTGTAACTGCTATTGAGTGGAGGAACTGTTGGTTTTTATTTGGAAAGGCAATATTGCTAATATTTATACCAGGATAGCATATCTGCTTCGAGCAAGAGAAACTCGAGTTCCATCCGAGCTAGTGCACATGAGGGCATGGTCTATGATAGTTGGCACTGTGATAGTTCTTGAGGATCAAATTTAGTGGGTATCAAGATTCAGAACTTGTATATCTTGTGATATGGTTTGTTCTGAAAAACAGTTATGCGAAGCTTGTGCTAGTAAAATACCTCAAGTATTCTCCATCCATTCTGGTTATCTTTTCCAGGTCATGACATCCGAGGCAGAAGGGCATATCTCATGGTTAGTGCCTACTCTTGCACTGAAATCCCCAGTAAATCAAGATGTTCTGATATCTGTATTCTGTAAAATCTGTTTGTTTGTAGTCTAAAAATGGCACTAACATGGCCTGAGTTTGTGGAAATTATAAATGAAGGATGGTCTTCCTTTATTCTTTTTGAGATGTGCCTGTCACTAATAAAGCTGCCATTTGTTGTCTACCCCAATTGCCCTTCAAACTAAATAGCTTGTCAGACAAATTCAGAGGGCAATCGATCAGATTGGTGTGGGATTGGAGTTGCATGTAGGCAATTAAAAGAGCTTCCTTCCCTAAAAGATATTAGTGAACCAGATGGCTTTTGTAACTGCCATCAGTGACAGTTTCATGGTCACCATCACTGAGGCTAACTTTTTCACTTCCAGAGTTGTTAATTGACTTTAAATTCCACCAACACCAAGGTGAGATTTAAACCTGTGTCCCCAGAGAAATAGGCTGAACGTCTGGGTTGCTGTGCTAGTGACATTAACATTACCTCACTGGCTTCCCGTATTAATGATACCTTCTTAGGTTTGCCTTTTATAAACTAAAAGTTTATGACATTTCAGTAACCTGAAAAATTAACTCTGTTTCTCTCCCCATGGCTGACTGAGTTGCTGAGTATTTCCAACATTTTCTCTTTATTTTTAGATTTCTATCATCATTAGTATTTAGCTTTTGAAAAACATTGGGGTCTTAGTCCCCAGTAGATGAGTGCTGCTAGCCTGCAGATAAATGTGAATGTGCTGTGAATGCCTTTTCTACAACTGCTCAAGCAAATGCATTTATGTGCTTGTGTGCTTTGTGACAGCTGATTATAAGATTTGTTATACATTTTTAGTTTAATGCAACTGATTTTTTAACATTGCACAGGATATGCACCATCTAGCATGCAACAAAGAAGTCCTACATTTCAGAGGAGTAAAAGCAAATGCTATATCAGTTGTTCTGTATATCTCAGTATGCCAAGGTACCAGCATAAAATCATGAATTTAGAATTAATGTAGTGTCTGTTTTTGACATTGCAGAACCTTTTGACAGAACAAACACAGCTCGAGCTGTACATGAAAAGTGCAAGTTTGACATGATCAAAAAGGAGTTTCTGCAGGTAAAATATGCAAAGATTGATTTTTTTGAAAAAAAATCATAAAATTAAATGAAATTATATATATCCAAAATGATTTTGTCTTTGTGAAATACATTTGGTCAACATGTTCTAAGTCTGAAGCAAGTTAGTTTAAAATTAATTTTATCTGTACAGGGCTTACGATCAAGATCTAATAATTATTTTTATCCTGTATTTGGGAACAAGGAACTTCAGAGAAATTAAGAATTAATTAAATGTCCGTTGCACCTTCAATGACCACTGCATGTCTGTTCTTGAATCCTCATTTTTCAGTAGATGCAAATCAAACAGCCAGTAGCTGTTTCCAGTTATAGTAGAAACAGTTAGTGCTGTGTACCATCAAGTCCAAAAAGTATTCATGAGTATCTTTTCTGAGCTGGTTGCAGCAGGATATTTGTTGCTGAAGAACAATTTGCAGTTACAATAACTCCAATTATTGTAAAGAGAGGTTTCAAAAAACGTCTCTGGTTGTTTTATCTTCTGAACAGAGTAGAAAGTGGACTGAAGAAATTGCAGCAAAGAGAAAGGAGTATGCTAGAAGACAAATACAGATCAGTCCTTAGACAACAACGGATAGAAATCGAGCAGTAAGATGAAAGGAGGATGATCAATCTGGAGTAGCGATTTTGAGATGGAAATTATGAAAGCAGTTTTTGAAGGGGTGAAATTTTGTGCTTTATCCAGAGATAGGCTATCAAATTTGTGAGCACCTTTCGTTATTTTGGGCAGTCTAGGAATTGGGGCCACTGCCTTACAGTAAAGGGTTATAATTTCAAACTGTGATGAGGGTTGTGAATCTCAGAACGTTGTGACTCCTTGACATTCCATACTCCAGAGAGCTGTAAATGCTCAATTGTAAAGCACATTGATGTCAGTGATGGATAATTTTTGGAATGCCAAAGGAACCAAAGAATATGAGAATAATGTAAGAAACAAGAATTCAGGTGTTTAATAAACAATGTTAATGAATGGTAGAGAGGGGCTTGCAGAGCCCAATGGTATGATCGTGCTTCTATTTCTTGTATTCTTGTTTCATTTTTGCTCCCAAAATTCCATGTGTGGTCGTGAAAAATGTCTGCTAATTGAATGGTGTACAATTATTTGCTTCTAGGACTATTGTATTTTCTGTACTTAATCCATTCTTTAAAGCTTAATCTGAGCTTCTTTTCTCTTTCGATCCTGTTGTGAATGGATTTGTGGGCACAAACCTCTAAGATTGCATACCTGTAGGAGTACTTGGCGATCCTTTTTGAGATTAGGGATTTGTGATTGCAAACTTGTAACATAACTTTTCTAAAGTACAGTATTAAAATATTTCATTTGATGTCTCTCTTTACATCTCTTGACTACTTATCAATTTCCTCTTGTTGCTGAACAGCTGTGGCAGAAGAGAATTGAAAGATTTATTAAATTTTTTCTCTATTGGTAGAATGCAAAAGTAGTAGCTCTGTTGTCAGTGAAGTTACATCAACACTAAATATAAACTATCCAAAGCAAAATTTTAAATGAAATTAAAATTTCAGTCTGGTGCTTTGCAGCTCAATCATTGTGGGCATTACCCATGCTTTACCACCTATGATTCTCACTCCAACCCCTGACCCCATGCTCAAATGTGTGGTCTCACTAAAAAAAATTTGATATAATAGAAATTTTGTTTAATGTTCTGCATGAATAATTTTCCGTAGGAAGTGTCAATTGGGCAGAAAATTTGGCAACACAGCAGCATCATTTTTAAAAAGTGATTCTTTTATGTTCTTGCTGATTTTGCTAAGTGCGCATAATTTAGGTGTTATTTGAATAGATTATCATAAATTATGACTTTATTTTATGGTATTTTGGACAGTGAACTGTAGAAGTTCAAAACATGGACGGAATCCATCCAGCAATCATGTCTGTGCCAATTGGCATATTCAGACCAGCTTGTCCTGCTTGGTGCCTTTTCTACATAGCCCTGTAAATGTTTTTTCCTCAGTTGCTTATCTAATTCTCTATTGAAAGCAATGAGTGATTCTGCAAGAATGGAGCATTTAGCACGGAGCAAATGAGATTACAGAAATGAACACATGACTCAGTGGTGAGGTATACGTGGGTTCTAGTTCACGGGTCACTGGTACCAGTATTGGGGAGGATGGATATGGTCTAGTGTTCTAGTGAGCGAGGGAATTAGAGAGAGGTTAAAATTAAGTAGTGGATGGCAAAGGATTAAATTTGGAAAGATGTGATAAATCAAAGAACAGAGGTACGACAAGAGAGAAAGATATTAAAGTGTGAAGTGATAAATAGACTATGACAGGAAGCAATACAGAGTTGAAATCTAAGTAAATCAACAAGTAACAAAAATAATTGAAGAATAAACCAAAAGGCTCTGTATCTGAGTGCACATAGCAATTGAAACTGATAATGCAAATAGAAATAAATATGATGTCGTGGCCATTGCAGTCATGGTTGCAGGATTACTGCAATGGGGAGGCAATGGCCTACTGGTATTATCTTTATACTATTAATCCAGAAACTCACCTAATGTTCTTGGTTCAAATCCTGCCACAGTAGATGGTGGAATTTAAATTAAATAAAGAATTGGAGTTACGAGACTAATGAGCATGAAGCCATTGTTGATTGTCAGAAAAACTCATCTGGTTCACCAATGTTCTTTGGGGAAAGAAATCTGCCATCTTTACCTGGTGCATGTGACTCCAGATCCAGAATAATGTTAACTGTCTTCTAGGCCATTAGAGATGGGCAATAAATGTTGACCTAGCCAGAGATGCCCACAAACCGCAAGTGAATTTTTAAAAAAGTTGCAAATTGGGACTTGAATATTGTAAAGTACGTAGAAGTACGGGAACCCATGAACAGGTAGAGAGATAGTTCTATTAATTAATTATGGAATTATCACAACAGAAAGGAATCGCTTAAGTTCAGGAAAACAGGGTAAAGGAACGGTTTGGGTAGAGATGAGAAATGATGAGGCCAAGAAATCACTTGAGAATGCTGTACAAGCCATCTAACAGTAATCCAGAAGGATGGGAGTATTAAAGAAGAAATAATAGTAGCTTGTTAGTAAGATGCAGCATTAAGTATGAGGAATTTTAATCTGCATATAGACTGGAAAAGTAAAGATAGGCAAAGGTAGCCTTGATCAGGGTTCATAGAATGTTTTCAGAATAGTTTCTAGAAATAGTGGATTTTGAAACCAACCAAACAGCAGGCTGTACTAGACCTGGTATTGCACAATAAGATAGGTTTAATTGATTACCTCATATGGTTGGCACCCCACATAGCATCCATATAAATTGAAAACTACATTAAATTTCAAGAGCAGAAGAATGCGTCCAAGACGAACACTTTAAAGTTAAATAAGGGCAATTGAGGTCATCAAAACAGAATTAGCTAAATTGAACTGGCAAATTAGATGAACAGGGATGTGATGGCATTTTAAGGCTTTGTTTCGGAATACATGGAATTGATGCATTCACTAAGTAAGAAAACGACGACCCAACATCTGTGATTATGTTTAAACAAAAATAAAGACAGTATCAAACCTAAAGGAAAAGTGTCTGTGTAATGAACAGGACCAAAAGAGCAAAGATTGACAAAAATATTAATAAAGAGGGAATATTAAAATTAAAGTAAATTAAGGAGAAAGTGAGCTAGAAACCTAAAAACAGTAAAAGTTTCTATTGATATTGTGAAAAAAAATTAGCAAAGTGAGTGGGTCTAGGAAATTATTCATGCAGTTGAACTGATTAGCTTTTTCTATCCATCTTTGCTATAGACAATACAAATAATATCCCAGAAATAGCCATAAATCAGAAAATGGAAGGGAGGGAGCTATTGAAAAATATCATTATCAATATGAAAGTGGTATTGAGTAAATTGTTGGAGTTGTGATCTGACCAGTGCCCAGATCCTCATGGACTTAATTTGTGAAAGGGAACTCCTGTCTACAAATTTATTGAATTTCTTTGAGAAAATATTGTGCGGTTCATGTACATAAGAACTAGGAGCAGGAGTAGGCCATCCGGCCCCTCGAGCCTGCCCCGCAGTACTTACACTTCCTGAAGACATTTGATGGAGTGCCACGTTAAAGGTGATTGTGGGAAAGTAAATACTCATGGTGTTGGGAGCAACATACTGACGTGGGTAGAAAATTGGCTAGCTAACAGAAAGCAGTAGGCATAAATGAGTCATTTTCTGGTTGGAAAGATGTGGTACCACAGTGCTGGAACCTCAACATGTTCCAGTTTATATAGATGACTTGGATGGGGGGATCAAAAGTATGGTTGCTAAAAATTGCTGATGAGACTCAGTTAGAAAAATAAGTTGCAAAGAGAATGTAGAGGTTACAAAGATAGTTTGAGCAAAAATCTGGCAAATGATATAATGTGGGAAAATATGAAATTGTCCATTTTAGCACGAAGATATTTTAAAAAGCATATTATCTAACTGATGAGAAATTGCAATACCCCTTAGATGCTGAGGAATCTGAGTGTCTTATGCATAAACACAAAAGGCTGGTATGCTGGTACAGCAAGTAATTAGGAAATCTAATCCAATGTTATCGTCAGTGCAAAGAGATTTGAATACAAAAGTAGGGAGGTTATGCTTCAGTTATACAGGGCATTAGTGAGGTGACATCTGGAGTACTGTGTACAGTATTGGTTTCTTTATTTAAAGAAGGATATAAATGTATTGAATGCAGTCCAGAGATGGTATATTCAACTGATACTTAGAATAGGTGGGTTGCCTAATGTGGAAAGGTTGGACAAACTAGGCTTGTTTCCATTAGAAGTAGTCATTTAGTAGTACTGAACTTTAGTATTGCTTGAAATAGATATATTTTGTCAAATAAATAAAGCAAAATTCTGTGGATGCTGGAAATCTGAAACAAATGAGGAGAATGCTGGAGAACCTCTGGCAATAACTGTGGAGAGAAATGAACTTAATTTTTCGTGTCTGGTACGACTTCAGTATTGAAGAAAAGTCATACTAGACCTGAAATGTTAACTCCATTTCTCTCCACAGTTAATGGCAGACCTGCTGAGTTCCTCCATATTTTGTCAAAGGTTTTTGCCTTGCATTCATAAGGGAATTCACAAAAAATACTGGAGTAAAAGAAAACAGCATTTATACTTTTTGAGGGGAGAGTATTAATTGGTTGACGTGGATTCTGATTGGTAGAGGATTGCCATGGTAAATGCACCAGTTAATGATGACTCATTAGTTTTTTTTAACAAGGCAGATTGTTCAAAGTATCAATATGTTCCCCTGAGAAATGAACTAGAGAAGCCTGTCACCTCGATTGTGTGAAACAGACATGCTGTGTGTACATATTCTTTCTGTCTGCAAAAAACAATGCCATTTGCATTGATGTATGTAGTTTAAAGTATATCCAAGTGTGCCATATTGCAAACTCAACTGACAATACTAAATTGACAGTCAGCTACATTGCTGTGAGTCTGTAGTCGCATGTAGACCAGACCAGGTGAGGATGGCAGACATTAGTGAGCCAGATGGGTTTTTCCTGACAATTGACAATGGCTTAACGGTCATCAATAGATTCTTAATCTGTCATGGTGTTATTTGAACCTGGGTCCCCTAAACATTAGTAGACTTTGTGGATTAACAATCTGGTGATAATGCTACTAGGCTACATTGTTGGACACTCTGTCATGAGGTTTGTGAAAGCAGGCTGGTAGGTTATGCTAATGCCAATTTAGGATGGTCAGTACCTTGTTCGTTGTAAACTGCCAAAGTATGTACTTTTTTTTATATGGTTTGCCAGTCTTTGGGACATTGGGCATATGTACCTAATGTCAAATGGCAACTAAGTTCGTGTACCACATTAATCATTTGTGTGATAGAAAAAAAAATTTTTCGGCTGCTGCAGAATGCTGATATCATGCATCGCAGCATGGCATTGTGGTAATGTTATGGACCAGACCAGACTCTCTGAAAATATTTTAAGAAGATAGCCTAGACCCTAACTTTTTCTTATTTTAAAGGCAAATGTGAAGTACGTGTTCCAGATGTGATGTAACTGGTCAATCCATTCAACGTTAAGCAAAACACAATTTATTTAAACACTATAGTTGAAATACAAACAAAAGAAAGAGGAATTTAGAATAACGACTATTAGAAAACTTTACAGAAAAATAGATACAGTACCTATTACTAATCAATTGTTCCAATACAGTAACATCCCATAAACACATACTTTGGCAAAAAAGGTAACTTTAGACACAGATTCTTGCAGGCAATTGTCCAATCCAGGAGGAAACAACATTGAGAGATTTCAGAGAATGTAGCAGCTAGGAATCATTCTACTGAAGCTCCAACTCTTCTGGGACCCAAACAGCTTCTGACTGCTACAGTTTTAAAAAAAAACTAGAAAGCTTGATCTGTGATAACTGGCCACACCTCTTCCATTGTTAGAACTGTTTCTAAAAAAAAAATCCTAGAGGTCTCCCATAGCCACTTCGTTACCTCTGCCTTTACAACCTGTCTTCAAAAAAATCTCAGGACAAAATAACCTTTTTAAAGTGACAGCATTGTCACAGTAATAGATACTCTGGTTACTTGGATTCAAATTCTAACACAGCATCTAGTGGAATTTAAAGTCGGTTAATAAAATCTGGAATTGAAGGTTTGACTCATCCCAAGAACACCATTGCTGTCTTTGTTTTTTTTCCTCTGAAATGCTGTCTGATTCACTGATGTTCTTTAGAGAAGGAAATCTGTTGTCCTTAGTTCCTCTTGCATGTGATCTACAGCAGTGTAATTATTCAGGTGTTGGCCTTTCCAGTGATGCCCACATCCCATCAATGAATACAGAAAAAGCCTCTGCACTCTTTTTCCCGCTGGGTACCATTATGTCTTGCCCCAAATGGGTCCCTGAAGGGACAGAATAGGCTGTGGATTTTTGATAGAGGGGAAGGCTGTTAATTGACAGCTAATACAATTTGATAGACAAAGGAGAGACAATATAAAATGAAGGGTACTTCTGTGAAGGATGGGCAGATGCAGAGACCTGGGTGTCTTTGTACACAAGTCATTAAATCTGGCAGGACAGGTAGAGAGCAGTTAGTAAAATATGCAGTATCATAAGTTTTGTTAATAGGAGCATAAAGTATAAATTCAAAGAAGTTGTGCTGAACTTGTACAAGACCTAGTTAGATTTCAGCTGGAGTGTTGTGTATAGTTCCGGGCATCACACCAGGATACCAGTGCACTGGGGAGAATGCTGAAAAGGTTTACAAGAATGATTTCAGAGATGAGAAAGCTATTTAATGAAGATGGATTGGAGAAGTTGGGACTATTTTCCTTTTCCAGGAGGAAAGTTGAAAGTTTTGAAAATCATCTGGGGCCTGGACAGCAGATGGAGAAAAACTGATCCCACTTATAAAAAGGATCGAGAAGAAGAAGGCACAGATTTAAAGTAAACAAGTGGAATGCTGGAGAAACTTAACAGGGCTGGCAGCATCTGTGGTGAGAGAAATAGAATCATACTGGGCCTGAAATGGTCCAAAGATGTGACCAGATCTGCTGAGTTTCTTCATTCTCTGTGTTGGTTTCAAATTTCCCACCCACAGTCTTTTGTTTTATTACAGATTTAAAGTAATTTACAAAAGAAGCAAATGAATTTGAGAAAAAACATTTTCAAACTGAATAGTTTGAGTCTAACTGTGCTGCTTAGAAGTGTGGTGGAGATAAGTTCATTTAAGGCATTCAGAGGTTAACAGATGATTATTTGAATAGAAACCATGCAGGACTGCAGGATAATGGCACTAAATCTTCATGATTATTCAAAGAGTGATTGCAGACACAATGGACCAAATAATGGCCTCCTGCAGCATAACGATTCTGTGGTTGACAGATTTAAGTCTGACTATTATTTTCAGACTGCTGCTTAACCAGTATGTGGGATAGTTCTGGAGATAGTAGGAACTGCAGATGCTGGAGAATCTGAGATAACACGGTGTAGAGCTGGATGAACACAGCAGGCCAAGCAGCATCAGAGGAGCAGGAAGGCTGACATTTCGGGCCTAGACCCTTCTTCCAACTTTGGCACTCATCCCCTGATATGAGGAAGGCTTGGCAGTATGAATAGTTTTGTGTGCTCACTTGATCTATCCTGATTTGAAGCTTATTAGGTTGGTCTGGTTTTCATTATTTTCCTTTCTGGAGTTTGATGTAATTGAATGGCTTGGCTAGTAGGGCATTTAAGAATGTGCCATATTGTTATGGTCTGCTATCATGTATAGGCCAGAACAAACAGAATGGGAGAACTACATCCCTAAAGAGGCACTGGTGAGCAAGTTAGGTAGGCTTTTATACTAGCTTAGTGGCTCATCATATGTTTACCAACATAATACACATTGTCTCAGTCAGAAATAGTAAGAACTGTTGATGCTGGAGTCAGAAATGTTTCTGAAGAAGGGTTCCGAACCGAAACGTCAGCTTTCCTGCTGCTGTGTTGTGTGTTCCTCCAGCTCCACACTGTACTAGCACATTGTGACTCTGTATTTCATTTAGCATCAGATTTCTGTTTAATATTTTTTCAGTAATTGTGTGTTTTGAGTTGTGTCCATTTCCTTGTGCAAAATTAAGATTGAGTTTTCATGACATTTTTGTGACTTTCACAGACACTTTTTATGGTGCCAGAATTCTACATTTCAATTTCACAGCTTGCTGCAGTGGAATATGAGCTTTAAATATCTGTAATTATGATTGTTACATTGCTGTGTCCAGGTACATGGTTGTGTTTTAAATGGTTGCAGTAGAATGTATACAAGATGCACTAATTGAATTGTATTATTTTTCTTTAGTCATGGCACAAACTTAAAGATAAGAGAGACTTGTTCAGCATTCTACCAGCAGCAGCTACAACAGAGTGTGGGGGAAGATGACGGATTGACCCTACTTGCAGCTGTTGTCCTGAAGAAAAGTGGAAACCCTGTAGCAAACAAACACCGCTTCCATCACTGGGAGGATTTTGTCTGGCATTGATTTCATTTAAAAACTTATCTGATTTATAAAGGTTTTTTGTCTTTTATGTGACAACAAGAACTGTGGATTTTCTTTTGTCTTTTTCGTTTCCTGCATTTGTCGCAACAAGCTGACAATGAAGCCTACATAATAAGAACACGGAAGAATAAAATCCTAGAATTAAGGACAGATGATTATTAAAACAAAGTCTTCCTTTGAAAGATCCTTCTGAATCCTCAAAGGTAAAAGTTTACTTAAGTGATTTTAATGGATTTGCTGCAAAGTTCGGTCTGTGCAATTTGACGAGGGATAAGGAAGTGGGAAGGATATAAGAAATAATGAATAGCAAAATATTTAACCAATGTACCATCTCAATTGCACTATTTTGAATGGTAGCAGGGTTATCATTTGCAGTGTTATAACTGTAATAAACTTTCATTTTCAAGTGGAAAGTAAGAGTCCTGCTGCAATCTAAAAATAATTGCTGCCCTTTTTTTGCATATTAAGAAATCATATTTATTCATTCCTCACCCCATTATTGTGATTCAATGTAACATATGCTGAGCAAATATGTTCATTCCTATTTCCCGGACATCAAATAAACCTTAATTCAAGTATAATGCCACCTAAGTCATCCTTTATTTACTTAAAGAAAAGTAACTAGAAAATACATCTTGTAGGATGCTGAGCAAAATGTTGGTGAAAAATGAGGTTTTCATTTTCAGTTTATTTATTAAACCATTCTAGAGGCCAATTTCTAAAAGTGCTGTCTTTTTAAGTAATTAACTTGTTACTTTTATGTTTATTGTTGTCTAGGTTTATTGTATATAAAATATGGAAATCAGTTTTTGCTATGTTCTATATCTCATTTTTCTTTTGAAATTCCCTTTTGTATTTTGTATATTGTCTAAAATTAAATAAAGTTCGCATATGGAAAATAAAACTATTGAATCGAGCATTTACAGTGAAAAATTGTTCTACTATCATGGAACTGTTGAGTCAACTTCCAAGCTGCTGCAAATTACATTGGTTTCAGCAACTACAAACTGGCAACTGTAATTGGAAGCTGATGTTGATATTTTTAAACTTGGTGCTTGCATGCAATTTAATTCAATATCGTGCAACAACTTGGGTTGTAGAGTAAAAACAATAAGCAGTTTAGGCTTCCACAAAGAGTAATTTGCATTACTAGTGATCGTCACGCAATCACAAACTAAATTATTTTGCTGCAGAGTAGATTCAAACCAGGTAACGGTTACATTAGTTAGCTTTGTGCCTTTTACATAGTTAAAATTGGATTTGTAACTGCTTTCTAAATGGGGTTATTGTTTTATACTATTTCAGGATCCTGTTACCATTTCAGATTTTTTTTTCAAAAAATCTGTGATTAAATTTTTTTATTTTTTACAGAAAAATGCAAGTAAACAGAGATCGAATCATCTGTATAATTGTTTCAACCCAGGACTGTTAAATTAAATTACAAGGTTATAATTATTTTTACATGCTTGTGATCTGACTGCATGAGAGTTAGCACCAAAAAATGGCTAATAAAAGCGAGACAACAAATGCATTGATGAAATCATTTTGAATTGAAGATAAATAGGAGTATGTAAAGATAATTAATTTTTTAAAATTCTTCAGTGAGCCACTTAATTTCATTTAGTCTAGTTAAATGAGTTGGTTTTAAATATAGTAATCTCAAATCATTGACTTAAGTATTTTTAAACTAATACTGAGTACATGTAACGTGAAATCCTAACTTCATGAATGTACTTATCTTTGTATATTTAAAAAAATATAACTTATGGTTAGCAAAGCCCATCTTTGCACATTATATGGTCTCTACTTGTTTGAAAATTATTTAACAGTGAGAAATTATTAGGTTTTTGCGGCCGTCATTCCTTATTAACTTGTCTGGACTAAATGATTTCCGTAAAATGGCATGAGTCGCAATGTAAATAAATAAATATTTATTACAATGTCCCACTGTTACTAATTGCAGGTTTTACTTTGCTTATCTTTTCTCAAGGGAATGTAATAATTCTGGTTCTATCCCAGCAGTTTTTACTACATCCAAAGCAAACAACACCTTGCATTGGTCAGCACACACTTCCTTTGAATCATCAGTTGACTGAGGGTGCTTTTTATTACAAATTGGGTCAGCAGCAAACCTTTTGACTGTTGGTATATATACTGGAAAGAAAATAGCTTACTCCATTACCTTCACTTTAAATCAGTAGCCATACAATTACAGCCTGGCGTCTCAGCAATTAATTTAACATGAATAAATCTCATTCAAATTGAATCAGAAAAGTAAGTACAGTAATTGAATACACTTCTCGTTTTTATTTTGAAATCCTCCTCAAAATGATTTTCAATAGTGTAGATATTCTAAATTTCATCAAAGCACAAGTTTACTTTATTTCATAGAATGTGAGCATCAGAAGCAAGACCACTATTTGTTGCGCATCTCATCTGTCCTTGAAGGTGGTGGTGAGTTGCTTCCATGAGCCACTGCATTCCTGCTGTAGGGACATCTACAGACCTGTTCAGAAGTGAGTTCCAAGATCTTGGTCCAGCAGCATGAAGGGTTAAAGATATGGTACTTGTATGTAGTGATCTTCCCATGGCACCTCGTGTTGTCATTGGTTTGAAAGATTGTTGAAGGAGTCTTAAAAAGTAAGTAATCTTGCACATTGCTGCCACTGTCTTGCTCGTGGTGAGCGTGAATTTTTAAGGTGGTGGATAGGGTGTTACTCGAGTGGGCTGCTTTTTCCTGGGTGGTGGTGAATTTCTTGAGTTGTTGAAGCTGAACATCCAAGTAAGTGGAACATATTCCATTTCACTCCTAACTTGTGTCTTGTAGATGGTGATTGGAGAGAGGGAGAGAGAGAGGTTAGTATCGTACCACAGAATTTCCAGCCTTGGACCTTCTCTTGTAGGTACCTTAATTATATGGCTGGTCCAGTTAAGTTTCTGATCAATGATAACCCCCTGATCATATGGAGTTCCATGACAGTATCGTAATGGAACGTCAAGTGACCGGAGGCCTGTGACCAGTGATGTGCCGTAAGGATCAGTGGTGGGTCCGCTGTTGTTTGTTATGTATATAAACAATTTGGATGAGAATATAGGAAGCATGGTTAGTAAGTTAGTGAACGATACCAAAGGTGGTGGTATAGTGGATAGTGAAGAAGGTTATCTAAGAGTCCAACAAGATCTTGGTCAACAGAGCCAGTGGCCGGAGGAATGGCAGATGGAGTTAAATGCAGATAAATGCAAAATGTTGCATTTTGGTAAGACAAACCCGGACAGGACTTGTCAAACAGAAAGTCCTAGGGGTGCAGGTGCATAGCACCTTGAAAGTGGTATCACAGGTAGACAAAGTGGTGAAGAAGGCATTTGGCACACTTGCCTTCTTCAGTCAGAGCATTGAGTACAGACACTGGGACATCATGTAGAGCTGTACAAAACATTGGTAAGGCCACATTTGGAGTACTGCTTACCATTCTAGACACCCCGCTATAGGACGGATATTGTTAAATTGGAAAGGGTGCAAAAAAGATTTATAGGGATGTTACTGAGACCGGAGAGTTTGAGTTATAAGGATAGGCTGGGACTTTTTTCCCTGGAGGGTAGGAAGCTGAGGACTGACCTTATAAAGGTTTATAAAGTCCTGAGGTGCATAGCTAAGGTGAGTAGCTAAGGTCTTTTCCCCAGAGTAGGGGAGTCCAGAATTAGAGGGCATAGGTTTAAGGTGAGAGGGGAAAGATTTGAAAGGTACTTGGGCAACTTTTTCACAGGGTGGTGGGTTTTTGGGGCAAGCTGCCAGAGGAAGCTATAGAGGTGAGTATAATTGCAACATTTAAAAAAAAATTTGGACAGGTACATGGATAGGAAAGGTTTCGAGGGATATGAGCCAAACGCAGGCAGATGTGACTAGTTCAGCTTAGGAAACCTGGTTGACATGGAAGAGTTAGCTGAAGCATCTGTTTCTGGGCTGAATGACCCTATGACTCTAAGTGGGAGTACAGTTAGATTTGATCTTGGAGATGGCATCATATGTCACTTGCGTAGCATGAATATTACTTGCCACTTGTCAGCCAAAGCTTAAATATTGACCAAGTCTTGCCAGATACGGGGAATGTAACCGAAGGCGCAAATAGTACTGAACGTTGCAGTCATCCACAAACCTACCCAACGTTTGACCTCCTGATGGAAGAAAGATCATTGATGAAGCAGCAAGAGATGACGAGTCTGGGACAAAACCCTGAGGAATTCCTGCATCAATGTCCTGGGACTAAGATGATTCGTTTCCAATAACCCTTTGTGCTCCAAATTCATCTTGCTGCCATGCTTGTTCAAATGCTGTCTTGTTGTCATAGAAACATTGGAACCAGAGGAGGCCATTCGGCCCTTCGAGCCTGCTCCGCCATTCATCATGATCCTGGTTGCTTGTCTAACTCAATAGCCTAATCCTGCTTTCTCCCCATAACCATTGATCCCATTTGCCCCTACTGCTATATCTAGCGGCCTCTTGAATACATTCAATGTTTTGGCATCAACTACTTGGTAATGAGGTCCACAGGCTCACCGCTCTTTGGGTGAAGAAATGTCTCCTCATCTCCGTCCTAAATGGTCTACCCTGAATCCTCATACTGTGACCCTTGGTTCTGGACACACCTACCATCGGGAACATCCTCCCTGCATTTACCCAGTCTAGTCCTGTTAGGATTTTATAAGTCTCTATGAGATCCCCCCTCATTTGTCTGAATTCCAGCGAAAACAATCCTAACCTACTCAATCTCTCCTCATACGTCAGTCCTGCCATTGCTGGAATCAGCCTGCTAAACCTTCTCTGCACTCCTTCAAGAGCAAGAGCAGAAAAGGAGACCAAAACTGCACATCATATTCTAGGTGTGGCCTCACCAAGGCCCTGTATAACTGCAACAACATATTCCTGCTCCTGTACTCGAAACCTCTCACAATGAAGGCCAACGTACCATTTGCCTTCTTTACCGCCTGCTGCACCTGCATGCTTACCTTCAGCGACTCGTGCACAAGGACACCCAGGTCCCACTGCATACTCCCCGCTCCCAATTTACAGCCATTCAGGTAGTAATCTGCCTTCTTGTTTTTGCTTCCAAAGTGAATAACCTCACCTTTATCCAAATTATACTGCATCTGCCATTGATTTGCCCACTCGCACAACCTGTCCAGATCATGCTGAAGGATCTCTGCATCCTCGTCACAGTTCACCCTCCCGCCCAACTTGGTATCATCTGCAAACTTGGAGATGTTACATTTTGTTCCCTCACCCAAATTATTAATTTTTATTGTGAATAACTGGGGTCCCAGCACTGATCCCTATGGCACTCTACTAGTTACTGCCTGCCAATTTGAAAAGGATCCATTAATTCGTACTCTTTGATTCTCTGCCAACTAGTTTTCTATCCATCTCAATACACATCCCCTAATCTCATGCGCTTTAATTTTGCATAATAATCTCTTATGTGGGACTTTGTCAAACGCTTTCTGAAAGTCCAAATATACCACCTCGACTGACTTCATTTTGTCAACTCTACTAGCTACATCTTCAGAGAATTCCAACAGATTTGTCAAGTGTGATTTCCCCTTCATAAATCCATGCTGACTCTGTCTGATCCTGCCACTGCTTTCTAAGTGCTCCGCTATAAAGTCCTTGATAATGAATTTGAGAATTTTTCCTACTACCAATGTTGGACTTACTGGTCTATAATTTCCTGTTTTCTCTCTACCTCCCTTTTTGAATATTAGAGTGACATTAGCCACCCTTCAACCTGCAGGGACTGTTCCAGAGTGGATAGAAACCTGGAAGATGACCACCAATGCATCCACTATTTCTAGAACCACTTCCTTAAGTACTCTGGGATGTAGATTATCAGACCCTGCGGATTTATCAGC